CCTGGTATACTCTGTGTCAAAAGTTGCGCCCGGCGTGGCATGTGCCCCAGCCATGCAAAAGCAGCCTGAAAAAAGCTGGCGGCAGTCCAGGTTGTGATAGCAGGCAGCAAGGTGATTGGCCGATCGGACATCAAGACAGTGAACTGGTGGGGGTGGCCTGCAGATGCGGCTGCGAAGGGTGATCCAAGGCCGGGAAAAAGGCACGATTCAACAAGAGGGCGGTCAATGCAATGGCCATGGCACAGATCAGAGGGCTGGCAAATGCCGTCTGGCAGCCTGTCATCGGAAAGCTCCCAAGCTGAATCGACTTCTTGGACCATGTCAACCTCCTGAGTTGCACCAGAGGAACTGGCAGCAAGGCGATCGGAGGCTTCAGTTGCTGGCAGCCTTGCAGTGACAGTCGTTGTGGTCGAAACCTCGTCGGGGCCAACTGCCACGACAGGCACGATCCATTCGTGCTGATTAGCAGGTTGAAGCAAGGCCAGAAACTGCCTGTCAAAGGCGTCTTGCAGAGCTGCAAGGGCTCCCTCAGCAAAAGTGGGTGGATGCGGCCAGGGAGCATCTCTCGCAACCAAATCCTCAAAATCAGCTAGAGCGACAGCGGGGGGGCAAAGGATCGTAACAACGCCTGAGCCCTTTCCCCTCCAGTCGCACACCAAAGCCACATCTTCCCTGTCGGCATCGCGTGGAGTCAAGACTATCTGTGGAATGGGAAAGCCATGGATCGGCTTTGTCAAAACCTGGGCTGCCCTTGGCGGCCTCCTGGCAGCGGAGACCGCATCAGCAATGTAGTCTTCAAGAACCCACGCCTGAAAAGACGGTCGAGACCTGGGTCGCTCCCCAACTTCAAACACAGTGAACCGACCTCTCTGGGAAGCAGCGTCGAACGTCGGCAGGTCCAAATCGACCAATCTGTCAAGTGGGATTCGTTGGAGGGGTTCCACATGTTGTGCGAGGATGCGGGCGACCTCCGTGGGCCAAAAAGGGCGGGGATTCGGTGCCTCGGGGCCAGGAGCTGGTCGTCGGTAGGGGTGGGCCTCGATCCCCCGCCCCCCAGCTGCAGTGGGATTCGGCACGCGCGGGGGAACCCGCAGCGTGCGTTCAGGCCCGCCAACATAGGCTATTTCCGGCAGTGAACCCCTGCCCTCAACGGAAAGGCATAGCCACTCGGGAAAATGCGCGGCTGTCATGACATCCCAGCTATCGAACCGCTCCCCGGCCTCATTACAAAAGAAACATCCCCCAGCCTGTCAGAGCGTTCTGTATGCAGACTCCGGGTCGACGCCTTTGGCAGCAAGCAGCTCCCACAGCAGCTCGGCCGAACCAGAAGGAGGCATTGTGATGGTGTGCACTAGTCGATTAGCAGGCCGTAGGTCAACAGGCATGGCTCTATGCAAGGCTGGCACAGTATCATCAGTTAGAACAAGCTGGGGGGTAGGCAGTCCTCCCATGGGGAGGTTGATAAAATGCACTGCCCTCAGAGGGTACGGGATGGCACGAGCCGAGTCCCTGGTGTAGTCATCGGGGCCCCATGTGGTTAGCGCGCCTCGTGACAAATGATCCAAGCGATGCTCGAAAACAGTGTAAAGGCTGCGGCTGGCATGTTGCGCCACAGGTCCATTGATAGCAGCCAGCTGGCCCATGCTGCCTTGGGAGATATCAACCGCCGGACCATCAAACTCAGCGTCGGATTGCACTGCCGGCTGGTTGAGGGAAGGTGGGGTATCGGTGGCGGGGTGACACGCATCAGACGTGCCCGCAGGAGGAGTGGGCAGAGTGACATGCTTTGGAGGTGCGGGCAGGTGGAAGGAAAGGCAACGGCCATTGCAACTGACAGTGCACGCAACAGGCGGCACATGTCTGTGTGAGGAAGGCTGCCTCCTGCTCTCCTGTGTCCTTGCTGGGGGTTCAAGGTACTGCACGACGCGAGCAAATGAAACATGCTTGCACTGCCTACTCTGTACAGCCTCCGTCTTAGCTTTTTGTACAAAATGTACAGCATCGCTCTCACACTCATCACTCCTCACAAGGACTGGCCTCAGATGATGGCTCGAAGAACGGGTGCAGGCAAGATCAGGTGTACCGCCCACTTCGTCTAGACAGCATGACCTGTTGTCCATGTGGTCACCTGTATCTAGGAACGTAGGCAGACACACGCCTTTCTTGCCAGCACACCGAACTGCGCCACACAACGGGTCACAGCCATTTGCAGCCACGGTGACGTCAAAGGGTCGCGCGCAGCCGCAATCGACCTCATACTGGTAAATGCGCTCGTCGAACTCAAACGTAGTGTGGATCCCGAGACGGCCCAGGTCCACCTCATATGCCCTGCGCAGTCCTAGCACCTTAGCCATGAACGGCGCCACATAGTCGCTCTCTGCCTCGACTGAATGTCTCCTTGGAAGGCCAAACATCCCGTCGGGCCGGAACGGCCCCACATCACCCATCAGGCTACATGTGGGGCCTTGCCAGGGGGCTCCTTCTTCGCCTCCTCCTGTTTGTCTCCTTGGGCGGCTTGCCGCCGCCGTGGAGAGCGCTCTCGTTCTGACTGCATCGCGGTAGCAGCGCTTGCCGCAGCCGCCTGATTGGCCGCCTCTAGGCCTTGAGTGATGGCCGCTTCCTTCGCCGCCATCTCTTCGCGCATCTTCTGCTGCTCCTCGGCTCGCTGTATCTCCGCATTCACCATCTCCTCGGCATCTTCCATGTCTTCCGATCCTACCGAGATGGTGTCCGACGGCCTTCCCGTAGCTGTCAGTTTGGACAGAGCCGCTGAGGCCTCGCTGAGCTTCTGCTCCCAACCTTGCTCTGCCACGTCGTAGCTTTGCAGGATCCTGTCTTTCTCCTCCAGATGGCCAGCCCATGTCTTCGCGAGCTTGCCCAAGAAGTCCGACCAACTTGCCAGATACTCCTTCCGAAGCGTTTGCACTTTGCGCAATTCCTTCTTTGCAGCCGTCTGAGAGGAGACTAATCTGTGAAGAGTCTTGCTCTCCACTGTAGGATCGCCACCCGCATGCGCGTCGAGCAGCTCCCGAACAGCCGGCGGCAGATCCTCCCTTGACTTGCTGAGGGCTCCGATCAGCGCCTGTAATGCCACGGCCTCTCCAGAGGGCACTGAAGAAGCGGATGTCGAAGGCGTCTCCTTGGGCATCGTGACGGCTCCCACGGATGGGGCCGATGGCAGCTCCCAGGATAGCTCCTTGGCGCTGCTGGTAGGCGCACTGACCGGTGTCTTGCCTCCTTTCGGTGGGCCCTTTTGTCCACCTTTGCCCTTGGGCTTGTCGGCCCTGCGCCTCGGCGAAGGCCACTGTCCACGGTCTGCACGTCGCCTCGGCGATGTCGAAGGTCGCCAAGGTGCTGAGCTGGGCGAGGGCCAAGGCGAAACATTGGACCCTGCCTCGTCGTATGAGGCCGCTTTTTGCCAGTGCTGCCCGCAACCCGGGCAAAACTGGAAACTGCCTCGCACTGACTGCCGGCACGTGTGGCATTTCCAAGCCTGTGCCGTTGTGGTGGAGGGCTGAGTCTGCCTCCGCTGGATCTCCTGTTGTCCCACCCGGCAAAGCCCACTGCCCGAGTGGTGATGCTGAAGTTCTTCGACTGCAGCTTCGATAGTCCTTGTTGGCGTAGAGCTGGAAATAGTCCTCAGGACTGTTCGCGCCCTGGTTCTTTTCCGCCTTGCCAGCCGATGCCAGCTTGGCTCCTGCACTCGTCTCTTGAACAGCACCACTCCCAAGGACAAGCCAGAAATACCACATACACCAGCGCCCAAAACCAAGAGGAACCCGGCACCAAAAAACCACCAGAGCGAATCAGTTCAGTGGCAGGGCGGGGAGCCTCAAGAGAATATTATATGGCAAGCTTGTCACCAGGGCGAACCAGATCAGTGACAGCTGCACGGGTACCTTGTACCGCGTAGGGTTGGCTGCGCGATGGACTCCGAAGAGAAACTACACCGCTAACTCACCTGCAAGCCAACGCCTGTTTTAGGGGGTTTAGGCTTTAGGGCTCTCGGGTTTAGGGCTTAGGGTACTACGGTTGATGATATAGATCCCGCACTACCCCATAATAAGGAATGCACCATCATTCCCGTAGTTTAGGGTCCTGACGGCAATGCAGGATTTATATCATCAACAGTATCACTACTACTGCTATTACCAAACTTACTGCCGTTACTACCAGTACTACCATTACTATGACTACCATTACTACTAGTACTACCGTTGATGATACAAATCCTGCATTACTTTAAGGCCCCTAAACTGTGGGAATTCTGGTATATTCCTTATGATGGGTAATGCAGGATCTATATCACCAACCGCGCTACTACCATGACTGTTAGTATTACTATTACTACCATAGTTATTTCTACTACGATTACTACGATATTACAGCTACTCTTACTCCGCCATTTCAGTGTAGTTTAGAGTTGAAGGGTTTTTGGCTTCTGGGTTTAGGGTGCAAGTTTCAGGGTTCTGAGGTTTTCTGCTGTTGGGTCTAGGGCTTAGGGTTCTCTTACGGTTTATTCTACGTTTCGGGGTCTTGGGCTTTTGGTCGATGACTGAGATACCGGAAAACGAAAATTGCTGCCTCTAGGCCTTTATAGGGCTTTTGGGCGGATTATGCCTACATGAGATGAGAACCTTCAGAAGAGACTTGCACATGATTTCAACGATAGCACTAAACCCTAAACCCTGAACTCGAAACCCTATATCCGAAGTTTAATTTCTAGCCCGAAGCCCCAACCCATCCCTACAATCTAATCCCCTAATCTCTCATCTCTAAACGACGGCCCGGGGGCTGGATTTCCAGGAGCTGATCACTGGCCCTGCTGGCTGCAACTGCTCTGCAAACCTCCGCATCACCTAGGCGTTGCTTTGGTTTTGGCGACTGAAAAAGGCTTTCTCGTGGGTGTGCCCCAGTCACCCCACCATACGGGGTTTGTGACTTTTTTGAGAAGCATTTATGAGGCGTTGTAAGATATTAAGCGGGGTTTTACAGCCTGTTTATACCAGGTTCCCGCAGCAACCTCTTGCAAGTAAGCGTAGCCTTGAGTGACTATGGAGGCCCCCGAAATTTGAAAGAGCAAAAGCATGAGGGGACTTCTGTGGGACCAGGTCACAGGACATGGTGAGGACGCTGTCGGTGCTCAGAAAACAAGCAGACTGATCACACGAAGCTTTCTGGGTTCCTTGGTTGCCCATGATCCCCTTGGATAAAAAAGGATACCTTTTTCCCATGATTCAGTTTTGCTGAGGAAACAACCGAAATAAAAAAGGCATAATGCTGGGGAATCTAGGCTCTGTCCTGCGGAAATGTGATGTTGAGTATGGAGGTGTCCACACTCAATTCAGTACAGTTCTTTATGGAAGCAGTGGACGGTTCGGATGCGGAATGTGCCGCAGCAAAAGTGGCCACGTCTGAAATGATGTCGATGTGGCATATCGTCCGCTTTGTTGCAGTATACGCGCATTTCCTTCTCGACACGCTGAGCTGCACCGCTTCTACCTCAACGTCGCTTGGAACCACTTCCAAGTTGATGCATTTAGGTTTCAAACAAACAGAGCGAAGTTGATGTTTAGACTTAACCGAGATCAGAGATCCTTGATTGATTTGATGGACCACAGCTTTCGAACCCAAGTAGAATGTTCTTTTTTGGAAAATGTTAACAAGTGTCAAGCGACAGTCGCAAGAACGTGGAGCTCTGCGGCCTTCCAACAGGCTTCGAAGAGCTCACACGACGACGTCACGTCCGCGTAATGAGCACACAAGCCTTCAAAAAGCTGCGGCCTGGTGTCACCTCGAGCATAAAGTGATGCAGAAGCCTTCTTCACTAGAGCAGGGCCCGTGGGTGCTGTATAGGGGACGATACGGGGACATTGCTGACTATTCCAACCCTATCATTGTCAGATGGACAGGGTAGACGCCTGGATTCTGCTGGGCACATCGGTACAGAAAGCAGATGGATTCGTTGTGGAAAAAGCTTACGGCAGGGTCGGCCTTGAAAAATGCGACAAGGGGGAGAGTCGGTAATTATATGAGTTACCAAGTCACAGCCTTGTGTCTTTGCCGTTGTTGATGCTAGCTCACCAGATGAATTCCCAATAGTCCAGATTTCGCAATGCTCTCCGCCAGACGTGCTAGAGCAGTCTGTCGTCCCGCATGCTATGCTCGTCTCGGCGCAGTACGACTCGCGAACGCCACTTGGACAGGGGCTTGATCCGCATTCCTAAGCTGATGTCACCTTTGAACATGGGCAAAAGAACCCACACGGAACCCTCTTAGAACCCGAAACCCTGTTCTAGAACCCTATTCACGAGAAACCCGAAACCCTGAACCCTGTAATAGAACCATCAAAGATGAACGAAAGGGCACGTCAAGAAAAGCCCAGGTTCCGACCGGGGGCGCTTGGAAAGGGTGAAAAGTTTTTGGACAGCCAGCCCGGTCCTCTCGTTGTTCAGGTTTAATTGGTTTAGGGGCCTTGGCTTTGTAGGCTTAGGGTTTAGGGGCTTAGGGTTTTAGGGTTTAGCGGCTTTGGCTTTATAGGCTTTGGGGCGTAGGACTTCAGACTCCTAAAACATAGGACTCTCTTGCCAATCTTATCAAGGGGGGAATCCCAGAGCAGAAAAGGCGACCTGGACCAGACTCAGGAAAATCAGACTCTGAACCCCGAGCCCTACAAATACCTAAACCCGAGGTGCCAAAACCCGCCTATAAAACCCTATAAAACCCTAAGCCGTGAAACCCTAAACAGTTTAAGCCTGAATGAGCCCTTTCGAATCTTCGCCAAACCATGCGTAAGGCTCTAACTTAAACCACCTGAAGCTTGTTGAAACTAAACTCTTCTAGAACCCCTCTGAGCCTCCCAGGAAAGCTTTAAGAACTGAATGAATGTAAGGCCCTTTCTTTAAACTTTGCCTGAAACCTTGGGCATATGCTCTTCTAGACTCTTCTAGACCCTTTTCCAAAGCCCTAAACCTTATCATGGTTTAGGGTTCAGGGTTTAGGGTTTAACCCCCTAAAGCCCTAAAACCCCCCTTTGACAGTCCTCTCGAGCAGCTCTGCCGTGCAGGCATGGAAGCTCTGGCCGAGCCTCTCTGGAGGACTTCGGGGTGCGCTTTTCTTTTGGCGGTGGCGGTAGTTTTTTGGATTCCCTCTTTTTTGAGGTGGGGGGGGCAGGGGGAGGGTGGAGGGGCCCAGGGGTTGTGTTCTCATGACTGTCATCTTGCTCGTGGTATCTGCTGTGATTGCTGGAATGGCTAGTCCTTCGCACGTTGTGCTCGAGGATGTTGCATGCTTCATGGTGTATGCTGCTTTTGGAAGGACTGGACCGTGCACGAGAGTTCATGTGTGCTTCGTCGTCCTGCTACGACAAGGTCAGTTCGCCTAGTCTTTAGGGTTCAAGCTTTCGGGAATAAGGATACTTCGTGAAACTATCCCGCAGTAAGAATGTCCCGCTGTAGCTTTGAGGAATGACAAAGCCCGATACAACACCAACCAGGCTTGAGAGAACATCAGTAGAGCAAACCCCCGTATACAACCCCTATAGGCGAGTAGAGCTGCCTTATAAACATTGCATGAACATGGCATCCAAGCAAGGTCCTAACCGTCTGACTCCCTAAATCCTTAAATCCTATTACAATCGCATCCAAGGAGCCCTTGAACTAGCTGTACGTCGCGTTGGTGAGAGCTGAAAATCTTCTCCAGAGTTTGCTGCGCTTTCGCCCGGGAGGAGTTGGAGCCTTGACCCAAGCTGCCACGCAAAGCCTTCGGCTAAAGGTTTAAATGTCGCTCTGCCATGCCAAAAGCTCTCGCCTGTAACTAAAGGGTCCCAAGACACGATTCAATAGGGTTTGGGGTCACAGGCAATATTTGGGTGTAGAGTGTGAGGTTTAAGGTTTAGGGAGAGTTAAGGATTGGGAAGAGTTTCGGGTTTGGGTTTGGGGAGGCTTTGAGCTTTTCGGATTTGAGGGCATTACTTTACAGCGGCTTGCTGCTTCTGCTCGAATGCCCTCGTCAGTTTCGCGCGGTTGCTCCTTTCTCCTCCTTGAAATGCCTACAATTCTACCAGCGGTGTGCTCCTCTTCCCAAAAGCTGGGTCCCTTTCGAGCGATTTGCTCCTTGTTCTCGAAAGCTCTAGTCCCTCCCGCTCTATGCACTCCCTTTGGAGCGGTGTGTCCTGTTTCTCCAATCGCTCTATTCACTTTCGACTGGTTTGTTATCATTCTTCAAATGCCTTGATCCCTTTCGACAGCTATGCCTCCAATGCTCCAATCCCTTCACAGCAGCTTGCTCGTGCTTGCTTCTTCTCTGAATCACACTAGTTCCTTGCGAGCGGCGTGTGTTTTTCTCGATTGTTCTAGTCCCTGTGGGACAGTGTGACCTGGTTCTCCAAAGCTCGAGTGGTTTGCCCCTTTCTCTTCAACTTCAATGCTCTGGTTCCCTTCGAACAGTTTGCTCCTGTTTCTCGATTGCTCTGGTCCCTTTCCAGCGGTTTGCGCCCAATGCTCTAGTCCCTTCGGTGAGTCATTGTTGTTATCAACTCCGTGGTCCCTTTCTATCGGATTGCTCCTTTGTTCTCCATGTCTCTGGAACATTTCGAGCTGCTATTTGCCAGATGCTTTATTCCTTCTCAATCGTCCTATTCTCTTTGGAGCGGCTTGGTCCTTGCTCCCATTTTGTTGCCAAGGCTTGAATCCCCATTCGAGCGTTATTCTCCAGTTTCCCAAATGCTCCAACCCGTTTATCGCATTTAGCTGCTTTTCTCAACTGCCCTTATCACGTTCCATGGGCTTGCTCCTTTTCTGGTTTGCTTTCCCTCTTAACTGCTTGTCCCTTTAAAGCTGTTTGCGCCATAGTCTCCTTGCCACAACTCCCTTGCGCGGTTTGCTCTCGTTTCCGAAGAATTCTACTGGCTCTCGCGGATTTGCCACGTATTCTTAAAGTATGACGTACCTTTCGAGTGGTTTGCTCCTCTTGTTCTCAACAGCTTCAATCAATTTCGAGCTGTTTAACCCTTTTTTCCGATGCTCCAAATCCTTTTCGAGCAACTTGCTCATAGTTATTCAAATGCTCTGGTCCCTTAGCTCCCTTTTCTCACATGTTCTAGTCCCTCCTTTTCTCAAGTGCTCTCTTCCCTTTCTAGGGGTTTGCTCTTGTTTCTCATATGCTCCCGCCTCTCTCGAGCGCTTAACTCTGTTGCTCAAACTCTTCATTGTTTCTATGCATATTAGACTCATTGTTATTATTATTGTTAGTGTTATTGTTGTTGTTCTTGTTCTTATTATAGTTACCAGTATGTTTCATTCCCCTTCAGCCGGCGGGCTCCTCTTGCTGAAACGAAGGGGCGGTTTGCTCCTGGGTCTCAAAAGCTCTCTAGTCACTCTCGAGCGAGCGGTTTGTTTGCGTCAGTAGTTGGAGTAGTAGTAGCAGCAACACGCGACAAGTAAAGCCTCTCTGCTTCTTCCTCTGTTGTAGGACACTGTTTCCTACACCCGAAACCCTCATTCCTGCTATAGATCTCCTGTTTCGAGCCCTTGTAAAGGAACACTATCCCAGGCATGAAGGCCCAATTATCATATGCACTAGAAAGCCCGCATATAGCCGGTATAAAACCCCTACTCCAATTTATTAAACCCCACTTTACGTACCCCCTAAACCCTAAACCCATAAACTCTAAACTCCTTTACCCTGAACCCCCGCTCCAATTGTATAGCCCCCCTTTACTTACCCCTTAAACCCTAAACCCTAATGCCCCGCAGCCCCTACAGATCTCTTTTCAAAATCCTTTGAAGGAACCCTTTTCCAAGTACCAAAAAGTCACTATTATAAGACCATGCAGTGCAAAAGGCCTGCTTGAAGCCCGGATAAGACCCTACTCCATTTATTTTCGATCCCTGTATTCAACCTAAAACCCTAAGAGCCAATTGCTTGTTGAAGAACACCTTGAAGGAACCCTATTGTATTTACTAAGCCCTAAGGCCCTTAAGCCCCAAACTCTGAACTCTAAACCGTTCCAACCCTGCACAAAAAGAAACACTTTCGAATCATGAAGGCCCCGATATAACCCTGAGCCCCAAAACTGAAAGCCTGCTGCTCCAATCATCAAGAACCTTCTATACAAAAAACTCAAGCCGACACCCTAGAGTCCCTAAGCCCTCTGTACTCCCAAAAACCCTGGGGGTGAGCCTAAACCCTAAACCCAAAAGCCCTGGCGAGCCCTTGAATCCTTAAGCCCCCTCCTGGACTCCCAAAAAGCCCTAAACCCTAAACCCTGAAATGTTTGAGCCTCGGCCAAGTCTGTGAGCCCCGGATAGGCCGCCAAACAGCTGCTTTCGGCTCCGGCGATCCTCGGGAGCCCAAACTTCCCAAAGCAGGGCTTTTTGAGGGCTTCCTAGCCTGTTGGGGCTTATGGGTTCTATCTGGATTTCATGGGGTCTCTGTGGGGTTCTTATCATAAGGCTTCAGCGATGGAGATTTTCGGGCTTCTTGGGTTTCTGCACGGCTGAAAAGGGTCTTATGAAAACCCTTTATAGGCTTGGCGTTAGGGGTGTTACAGGGGCTTCTTCGTACGGTTTTATGAGCATGTATGGTTTTCTATGCGCTTGATGCGAGGCTTCATGCCTTGATGAGTCCAAAAGCAACTCGGAGGATGAACGCCTAAAAGCCTTACATGTTATTCTCCAGGGCCTTTGGTTTGCCTGTAGCCCCCAATTAGGGTAATCTAATCTATTGCCCATTGCCTATTGTCCACTATTCGTCAGGAAGCCCCCGCAAAAAGAAGGGGATCCTTGCTTTCAGGGTGAACCCCCTAAACCCTAACCCCTAAACCCAGAAAAGGGAGCCTAATTTAGAGAACTACTCATATATAGCCATTCTAGTACCCGTATAGAAACCCTTATAGATTATAGATCCCTTTAAGGAGCCCCAAACCCTAAACCTATAAACCCATAAACCCTAAAAAGCCCCAACTTCGAGTTGAGAGGGTGTGTCTTTCTTGGGTGAGTCTCCATCCCTTTCGGTAGGCATCCAAATGCTCGAACTTGGGCTTTAGGGTTTAGGGGTTTAGGGGTCTAGGGAGTTTAGGGGTTGAGGGTTTTTAGGGGTTTAGGGTTTATGGTTTGGGGTTTAGGGTCGAGGGTTTTCTTTAGGCTTTGCGGCGTAGACCTTTTCCAAGCTTCAAGACTTGGCGGTAATGGGGTCCCCCAAAACAAGACTTTCCGAAACCCCTAAACCCTAAAGCCCCAAAGCCCTAACCCCTAAACATTCAAAACCCCTAAACAGTCAAAACCCCTAAACCTTAGACGCCGGAACCTAAAACCCCCGATGCTCCTCTGAACCTCCTTGGCAAGCTCCTCGTTGCCATCAAGAGTAGCCACGCTCTTCAGGACCTGCTGTTTCGAGACTTTGCGGCTTATGCCTGTAGTCCATTGTCCTTCATTTTTGGGGTTTAACCAATTTTATACTAAGGATCCTAAAACCCTAAACCCTAAACCCTAATCAACCCTAAACCCTAAGGAGCTTAAAAGGTAACCCCAAACAGGAACTACAATGGACACTGTAGCTACGGATTGATACCATTCAGGATGGGTTTGGGGTCTCAACAGGCTTATGAGGGCTCTTAAGGGTTTCTACGGGCTTACGGGGTTAGGGTTAAAGGGTTCAGGGTTTAGGGTCTAAACGAATTTATGCGGGTTTGCAAGGGCTTACAAGGGTCTGTAAGAGCTTACAAGGGTTCAGGAGCTTAGGGCTTCGGCTTTAGTCCTGTTCGGAGTCGCTTGCCATGGCTGCAGTCATCTGCGACTCATCGGCGACGCGCACTTGCATAAATGTCCCCTCCTGGTCAGAGTTGCCAGCTGGGAGTGTCAGGAAGTCAAGAAGCACCTGCTATGGACCACCAAAAACACGAATTCAACAGAACCACTGGGAAACAAGGCTTTTTTCCTGACACTACGAAACCTCGACATAACCGACAGAAGCCGCTACAACAGCTGACAGCGCACCGAATGAATCCCCCTACAAGAAGGAGCTGCTCCTCGTTCGGGTTGCCATATTGCGGACATGTCATCGTGTTCTCGCAGGTCTGCTCCTGCGCCACAACCAACACGACCTGGGGTTTGCGGTTTGCTGTTGATGATATCCTGCATTACCTTAAGGACCCCAAGCTATGGAAACTAGAGTAACCGAAAGACCTACCTTTTCAGGGTCCGTTACTATGGTTTCTAATATATATATATACACACACATACATACATACAGTTCCTTTAAAGATAAGGTCAGTATCCATTCCTTATTATGGGAAATGCAGGATTTGTATCATCACCCATAATAAGGAATATATACTATAGTTTCCATAGTTTAGGGTCCTTAAGGCAACGCAGGTTTTTATATCATCAACCGCAGGATTCGGGTTTGGAAGGGTTTCCGGCCCCAGGGCTTCCGAAGGGTGCTAGGCTGTGGCGGGTTTATAAGTAGCAGGGGTTTAGGGTTTAGGGGTTTAGGGGTCTATAGGGTCGATAGGGTTTAGGGGTTTAGGGGTATTCGGTTGGGGGCCTTAAGGTTTAAGAAGATGCGGCGTCAGCAAGGACTCAAACCAAAGACGTCCTGCTTCAAAGCCCTAAACCCCTAAACCCATTAACTCTAACCCGCCTTAGACACCCTAAACGGCCGTAAACCCTAAACCCCTAAAGTCTAAACCGCCTTAGACACCCTAAACGGCCCTAAACCCTAAACCCCTAAACCCATAAAGTCTAAACTGCCTTACACAC